CTGGCTAATGTTTAGCGTTTAGCAACTACATGCTAACTTTTCTTTACGACACTTTCTGACTTTGACTCATATGGCTAACTATTAACTATTAACTAACTATTAACTAACTATTAACCTTCAACATGTGTCCAGTGCGACTCTGATGAAGTCAACTGAATGTCTTGGCAGAAGCTTTAAATCCTTCTTTGTTTTTTTGGGGCAAATGATGACCTTTGAAAAGGTCATTCTGATTTTGAAGTCACTACAAATTCTTCATAAACAAATTCGCAAAACTGAGCAATTTGTGCCGACAGTCGACGTCTAATTACAGCTCCTCCTCATGGCTTTAATATCCTCACAAACACTCGTGTGACTGTTTGTTTACCACAGCGGATGACGCGGCCTTGCTAAAATAGCTCACACACACACACGAACACACACGAACACACACACAGACAGGAGAGACAGGAAGCTAACTTTTTTTTTCTTCCCACTCCTGTAAATCTTCTGTTTCAAATCGTATTCCTGACAGAAAATAAACTCCCACACCAACACTCAGACAGGAGGTGTTCTGACGGAGGAGCGCCTGACGGGTCGTCTCCGTCACCTCCGACTGTACTGTTGTTGTTGTTGTTGTTGTTGTTGTTATTTACTGCTTCTCCGACATCAGTCGTCATCGTCGCAGCAGAGAGTAAACAAGGCCTGAAGCAGTGAACCGACGCTCGACTATTTCTGTCTGCAGGACAAAGGGTTCACCTCCGACTGGTGTGTGTGTCTGTCTCTGTGTGTGTGTGTGTGTGTGTGTGTGTTTTGGCAGCATAATTAGACCTGGTGCTTTGCTCTCTTGAAGTTGTTTAACCACAGAGCTGAGCCATGATGGCTGTCACGGACACCAGACTGAGTCTGAGTCTTACTAACACACACACACACACAGAGACACACACACAGACACACACACACAGACACACACAGACACACACACACACAGAGACACACACAGACACACATACACACACACAAACAATTGAGCATGTTCACAGATGTTTCAAAACAAATATGCAACCTTACACACACACACGTTGTGAAAATGTTTTACAGAGAAAGAGGGAGAGAGAGGGAGAGGCAGAGAGAGAATAGGATTGACAGATTTAGTGGTATGAAGCAAATGAATGGGTTATAACTGAGTGAAAAACTAAATCACTCCAGATTGAACTGAACTCTTCACACATTTCTTCGGGTTTTTTTTTTTTTAACACCAAAACAAGTTCACGCTCAGGTCAGTCCAGTCCAGACGTCGAACATTTAAATATTAAACATTAAATATGGTTTTTATTTTGGTGATGGGTGGAGGTGATGGGGGTGGAGGTGATGGAGGGTGGAGGTGATGGAGGGTGGAGGTGATGGAGGGTGGAGGTGATGGGGGGTGAGGAAGTGATGGAGGGTGGAGGTGTCTGAACGTGAGTCATTTTATGGCCACAGGTGAAGCAGACACCTCCAGGTGGTGGCGCTGAATAAAAGCCCTTCTGTCAACACCAGAAAGTGTCTCCAGGGCAGAGAGCGATGATGATCATAATGATGGTGATTATGGTGATGATGATGATGGTGATGATGATGATGATGATGACATCATCATCAAAATTATGGTGATGATCATGATGATGATGATGATGATCATAATGATGGTGATTATGGTGATGATGATGATGGTGATGATGATGATGATGATGACATCATCATCAAATACTTAAACGTGCCTTTAACTGGTGCTGATGATTTCAGTCCACTGATAAAATCACAATCGCTGCCTAAAACTCTTATTTAAGAGTCGACGTTCAGGGTCAACGATGTGGTTTCCCCATAGACGGAGACTTCCCTCCGACTATCAGGGATCAACTTCCTGTCAGGTTCTGTCATCATTAGGAGTCGGGAGACACCGCACGTGTGAACCAATCTCAGGTGAGGGATTTTTTGCATGTCAAATTGCGATGCAAAGCTCGGCGATCCGATCAGACGGGAGCATAAAGGCTTTTGGAAGAGTTCGGAACAGATGGTTGGGATAAGGAATTCCCTTTCCTCAAACACCCACGACTGGAAAAGTGATAGAAGAACACTGGGTATTATTTCCTCCACAGATGGAATTCCTGGTACTATTTTTAACTCGGCCGCTTAAACTGAGGAGCAGCGCTGCCACCGTCCTACACCCGGTGTAGGGTAGGGGGCGCCCAAGCTGCTGGAGCTGTGTATTTATGTGTTGCAGTCAAGAAAGAAAAAAAAAAGATGACTCATCGTTTAAACAAACAGCCGTGCACTCGCAGTGGAATTCCTGCGACTGCTGAAAAATTCCCAAAAAATTCCCATAAAAATTTCCAAAAACATCAGTTCATCCCAGACCCTGAACCAGCCTTTGATCACACCAACGCTCCTCGTGGCTCTGCAGTGGCAACTTTTGCTGAGTCACAGTTTCCACTCGTCACATTTCACAGTTTTCTCCAAACTTCCTTGTTTCATTTTTTGTCCTGTAGGGGTTTAAAGTCAGTCAAATGTTTTCATCCAACCCAGACTAAACCACAGAGTCAACTTCTACTACTGTAATCCTTCCGCCGACTCATGGTGCAGCAGCGTAGCCAAACTCTCTCTCTGAATTCCGGTGTATTTCTCGTCCCCTCCCCCACAGTCAGAGACGACGTTCATATTTCCTCCGGACTCCCACGGTTCCTTCTCCCACTGCTGCCTGAATCACCAGCTTTTCTTAGAATCAAAGTCTTTCTGGTGTCATGACTCAGCAGAAATTGAGAAAGTCACATTCTGAAGTCAGCAGCAAATTCCTGACTCATCAGCCAATCAAACTGCAGAGAGATTCCATGTTTTAAACTGTTGCTAGGGCAAAGATGACCCTGTGGTTTCTGAAGTTTCACTCAGCTCCAGGCTGAGAGAGACTGACCTGCTGAGGCTCCACCGCAGGATTTATTATTCCCTGGAATCGTCTGATTATTCCCATCCGTAAGGCAATAATCAGACTAATGTAATTAACCGGAGCTGCATAATTAATGAAGGTCAGTCAGTCATTTCATTTTACGACTCCGTCGTCACATAACTGTCTTCAGTTTGACGTTAACGCCGCCACAAATCACAGGCAGAAAACCCTGCCTCACAAAGTACAACCAGAAGTACACACGTTCTACTCTGTCTCAGTTACTGTAACCTTTTTTTTTATTTTTTATCCTATTTAAGGGATTTTGTGTTTTGGAGTTAAGTGGAGTCTTGATCCTCAGCCTAGCAACTTTAAACAACTGTTGTAAATCCTCCAATCAGGAGCTGAGATTGTGGCCTGACGATACCAACGGGAACACGTCACCGACCAAAGTTTAACAAGGAACAATGTGAGTGGCTGAACCTGACACACTCAGCCACTTGGCTGCAGTTCAGACTCACACGAAGGTTACGACATGGGCCAATGAGAAAGTCACACCGTGGGAAAATTCTACTAAACGGCGATTAGTTCAAGTCCAGTCCCGAAAACTGGAGAACCTCAACACACACACACACACACTGTTTATTCTATAATTTAGGTTAAATAATAAAAATGAATCTCACATCAGGTCATAAGGAGTGGGCTGCGTCATCTCAAAAAGTCACTGGTCATACCATGGCACTTCACACTCTCGTACAATAGGTGGCGGTATGCGTGGTTGTGATCAGCTATTAAACTGAGACGGTTTCCTTTTTTGTCTCCCATGTGGAAAACAACAACAACAACAACAACAACAACAACAACAACAACAACAGGTTAGTGACGTTTGTCTCCCTTCTTGCCCCCGACTCCCGAGTCTCTAACTCCGGCTCATCAACGACCACCGCACGATCTCAACAGAAACCACAACACGAGGCTGGATTCTTTTTTCCAAACCCCCGGTGGAGACGTTCTGCTACTGATCAAGACTTGGCTCAACGGTTGCTCAGATAAAAATCACTGCGTCTCCTGTTATCGCCCACACAGGTACAAAAACACAAACCCACACACACACACACACGTCAGAGGCCACTCACGTTCCGGATGAATCTGTCGTAGTCGTCTCCAATCCGCTGGAGCTCTTGTCCGGCCCTCTCCGCCTGCATGTCCCTCGCTGCTCTTCCTCGCCTTGTGCTAGAGGAGCTGTGCCGGTCTGCAGGTACAAGAACAGACGCCGTTATTACACCACGAACAGCAGGTGCCTGTCCGACCGATGCCATGAACAAAACATCTGAGAAGAACAGGAAACAGGTGTTTGCATTTGCAAATTTCCCAGAGTGCCGTGGTGGCAGGACCCTGAAGGTTCTGGGTTCATGTTGGAAGTCAAGACCAAGTTTTTAAAAAAAAGAAAAAGAAAAAAAATTGACCAAGATCAAAAGTTTCTCTCATGTCATCAGTTAAGTTCCGTAGCATGGCGGTTATCATGACTGCTCTACACACAGAAGGTTCTGGGTTCGAGTCCCGGTGGAACCATAAACTCCATCATTCTCATCCATTTGATCAAATTTTAAATGTTTAAAACTAGACATAAATAATAAAGAAAAATAAAAGAGTTCACGTTGCTTCGTTAATAAAAAAAAAAAAAGATAAAACCTTTGCTTCAAACAATTAACCGTGTATCGAAAAACTTTGCTTCAAACAATTAACCGTGTATCCGTTATTGAGGCTGTCAATATGGGTGAGACTGTGTGTTTATGTGCGTGTGTGTATTTCTGTGGTTAATGTGTAATATTCTCACTCTACAAACGGCAGCGTGACAATGAAAGGCTCTGACCTCTCACAGGTCTGCGCTTATGACTCACGCTCGACACACTGAAACCTACGGTACGTTTAATATTTCTCACATCCTCCGATATCGGAGGCGGCGACGAGGCTGATATCATCCAAGATGGAGATGAAGCACATGGTACGGCGCAGCGCTGAGAGCAGGACGTGTACAGACATGACAGACGGCGTCAGGTGACGCAACCAAATCTCTCTTTTTTAACATCCGTTAAGGCAGTTCTATCATCTAGAAGTTTCTCTGCTATATTTCATTTTCTATAATATTCAGGGTTATTTTGAGCAAAACTCTGTGTATTTTTTTTTTCCGGCTAACTTTTGACTATCTTCTGGGCTAACCTTTAGCCATCGTCTCAGATAGCCTTTAGCTAACTTCTGTTTCTGGACAAAAGTCATCTTATGTTGTTTTAAATCCATTGTTTTATACAATATTTACTGTGAAATAAAGGTTACCTTTACCATCTACTATTTTAAACTAAAATCTGATTTATTTTCTTTTTTAAACCCCGGCCCCCGAGGGTCGTGTTATAATGAACGCCGCTGGAAGCAAATCAGCGGCAAACGTCAAAGAAAAGTCTTCTTCTCTAAATGTTTAAATAAATAAATAAATACATACAGATTAAAGGGCAGGTGTGATCTCCCTGCAGCCTGAAGAGGAAATACAAACAACAACAACAACAGCAACAGCAACAACAGCAGCAACAACAACAGCAGAATAAACTGATCCTCCTTCAAGTCCGGATCTTTGACACAAAAACACCAGCATTCAGTCTGACTGATAACAACCCATGTTGCAACACACACACTCAGATGAACAAGTGCGTGTGTGTGTGAGAGTGTGTGTGTGTGTGTGTGTGTGTTTGTGTGAGTGTGAGTGTGTGTGTGTGTGTGTGTGTGTTTCTCATCAGTTCTATCTGATAGCTGCAGAGGACTGAATCAGAGGTGGAGAGTTTCTGTCTGTAACTCACAAAAGAGCTGCAGGCCTGTTTTGACTGACACACACACACACACACACACACACACACACACACACACACACACACACAGCAAGGGAATACTTAATGAACTAAACACTCTCTTTCTCTCTCACACACACACACACACACACACCTGTCCCCAAGCTTTGACTGCTATCTTGTCTGTCTGGCTGCAGTAAAAGGGAACAACAACAGGAGGAGACACTGAGCCAGGCTAATCAGTGCTATTGTACAGAAACAGTTATTGGCAGAAAAGTTACAAAAACTACAGAGAAAAACAACAAACTTTCACACAAAACAGCTCACAGATATGGAGAAGTCGCCAAGACAAACACTGCTGAGGTTAAAGTCAGGGCAGGTGACGTGTGTCGGAGGTCGGAGGTCGGAGGTCGGAACAAAAACAAATTTAGCCAATCAGAATTCAAACGTCAAAGACTGTGATTTAAGGACAGTAGAGATGTCATGGCTGATTCAACGCCTTCGTCAACAGAACATGGTTTCATCACCAGGCGGTGACAGGGCGGTTAGTGCATTTGCCTTACAACAAAAATGGTCGCTGGTTTGATCTCCAGTCTTTCTGTATGGAGTTTGTTTGGTGTCTTTATAGTCGCTCAAAAAAAACAACTTGTTTCACAGAGGTTTTGTTTTGTCTCCCAGTGGGACCAAACACTGTACAGGACTCGGTGTCACAGTTTTCATCGTCTCTGAGTCACAGATCTACAGTAAGAGATTTTTTTTTTTTTTTTAATAAGTGTGGCTCAGTCATGAAAACACAGTTTGTGCTATTTTAAAAATCACTGCTGCAGGAGGTGACAGACTTGACTTGCACTCACACATAAATAAACTACAGCAACACCGGGGATCTGTGTGTGTGTGTGTGTGTGTGTTTGATGGTGTGTGTGTGTGTGTGTGTTCCTGGCACAGCTATAGTTGTGGGGAAAACAATAATATTTTGTGTTGAGGAGATTTTGCAGTTCCCCAGTGGGTGGGTGGGTGGGAGTACGGGGGGGGGGGGGGGATATTTTGGGAAACTATGGCTCCTGAGCCAAAACGTGGCTCACCAACAAAAATTCAATATATATATATATATATATATATATATATATATATTTTATTTTTACAAAGAAATGATCCATTTGCTTGCTTACAGCAAAACAACACAACATCACTGTCCTCACTGCAGTGATTAAACCATAACCTTGGTGTGTACTGCAGTAGTACTACAGCAGTACACACACTGTGTACCAATCATCAGTACACCGTCACAATGTTTTCCTTGGTGACTCGTATTTGATCTGAGCCCCGTGGATCCACCGACACTCCCTGCCCTTATCTCTGACTGATGACGTGTTCACGAAGGTGGGACTGAGATCCGCTCACAGTTTCATTCACGCCCACTCACAGGGAATTGTGGGTAACGACAGAAACTTCATCTGAGCAGTGAAACAGTCAGTTATTTATCCAGAGTCTCTGCTCCTGTCATAACCTGCACCTCCTCTGGTCACCTTCCCTTTCTGCCCGTGTCTCTACTCGACTGCAGCAGTGCAGTGGAGTCAGGTCACCTGCTGGCAGACACCGGTACATGTCCTGATACAAATGTCAACTTCCTCAGGTTTAGTGTGCGTCTAGTCTTTACAAGAAAACGTATTTGCCTTTAAAAAAAAAAAAAAAAAAAAAAAGTGAACCCACTTCTGTAAAAAGACCAGTCGTCACAGTCTGACAGGTTGAGGTTAAAGCTCCCACAGAACGTTCTTTGGAGGTTTATTTCCCTACGTCACGACAGAAGTTTGACTGCGGTCGATGTTTAAATGAAACCTTGATGTTTAAAATCAACCGGTGCCAGGGCTTTGAACCTGTTCACTTCAATCGATTACAGTAAGATCATAAACACTTCTCTTCACCCACTTGGTTCTCTAGTTTCTGGGACTCTGGTAACACTGGTGCTCTGCACACACACTCCAGACGTTCAGGTGGCGAGAGTGAAGCTGAAGTTGGTTTGCAAGCCACGAAGAAGATAAACAGGATGTACTGTTTCTGTGAGTGATGTCAGCGCAGAGGAATGTTTGCTGAACAGTAAGAAACGAACAGACCACATTACTTTGTCTTAGCTACACCGGTACTGACACCAGAGCTAACGTTAGCTACAACAGTCCTGGTACTGACACCAGAGCTAACATTAGCTACACTAGTCCTGGTACTGACACTAGAGCTAACGTTAGCTACAACAGTCCTGATACTGACACCAGAGCTAACGTTAGCTACACCAGTCTTGGTACTGACACCAAAGCTAACATTAGCCACACCAGTCCTGGTACAGACACCAGAGCTAACATTAGCTACAACAGTCCTGGTACAGACACCAGAGCTAATGTTAGCTACACCAGTCCTGGTCCTGACACCAGAGCTAACGTTAGCTAAACCAGTCCTGGTACTGACACCAGAGCTAACATTAGCTACAACAGTCCTGGTACTGACACCAGCGCTAACATCAGTAACAAATATTCTAACGTAACAGCTGGATGTCAGGGCCAAACAAAAAAACATCTTGACAATAATAACTGTAATTGTACAGTGAGTTTTTTCTAATCTGTGACTGTAGTAAAGAGACGAAGAAAAACTAGTTATATGGAAATGAAAACGTGAATAAACTAAGTTCATTCAAAGACTAATAAAAATCTGCTGAACTGAACGGATCTTTTTCTTCTTCTCTGGTTCCTAACAGCTCGTCGTCTAACACTTGTTCTTGTCACTGACTGACATTCCCAGAGTCCCCGGGGCCTCGATCCCATTACAGCTGATGCTCTTTGAATATTGTTAACCACAAACCAAACCAAACCAAACCCAGCCTGGCTCCCTGCCACCACAGACATTATATACATCTACTTTTTTGGAAATAAAAACGAAGCATCAGTGCAGCTCCGTGTTCTGTTTCTGTCTCTGTGACTCAGCTCTACTTCAACACCTCTGGCTGTTTCAGTCCTCGCTTCAAAACACACAAAACACCAGTCATTTTTTTCAAATTAAGCACCAGCAGAGAATTACTCACCCATCAAGCTATTAAAGAGCCTTTCACAGTTAACTGCACTCAGTGGGAGTAAAGGAGGAGTAAAGACCAACTCCATCAGATCAGGTTTATTTGTGGGTGAATATAAAAGGAGGAGGAATTCACGCATTCAGCTTTTTTTTTTTTTTTTTTTTTTTTTTTTTTGCATGTGATTTGGTTTTGAGGAACTGCAGCTCCAGTCAGTCTGGAGGTTTCAGTGCCTGTGCTCACCGTTCGTCCGCTGCGTCTCGGCCACGCTCAGCAGGGCGTGATTGATCACCTGGGCGGAGGGACTCGGAGTCTGCGTGGCTTTGTCAGCCGTCACTGGCCTCGGGGAGCTCGGCACGGAGTCGCTGTCCAAAGAGAAATACCCGCTGGACTGGCGGCGGGTGAAGTGGAATATTGACCTGCTCTGATAAACCACCAGGGTGTCGTTGGCGGCGTTGGTTCTGCACCGAACCGCGGTTTCCTGCTCTTCTCCTCCTCCTCCTCCTCCTCCTTCTCCTTCGACCAAGCTGTGGTGGCCAGAGCTCGGCTCTCCGCTGAAACCCGGGTTTTGCGCACGGACGGGAGCTGGGTCTCCTCCGCTCCCCGCTACTGAAGCCGCGCCATCGGGCCGGTTCGACTGCTGTCTGTTGGGTGAACAGAGCGGCACCGTCAGCCCGGGCTTTCAACACCTGGTCCGAACACTTTACAGCGGCGCGTGTGCGCTGGAGCTGCGCCTGGAGCTGAACGGCTGACCGAGGCGGCGGCGGCGACGCACCGCCGACCTGAGTCCGAACTGGATCCGAGGACACTCATACTTAAGACCGAGTTTTTTTTTGTTTTTTTTTTTACTTAAATGGTTCGGTTTGTAATAAGTACAATTCTAAAGGGTGGTCCCGTCGTCTGTTATCGACGACCTCAGATCACGGGTGCAGCCGACAAATAACGAATCCACAGTGACGAATGCTGCGACTGTTCGATCATGAGCAGTGAATGAGTTCCTGTTTAGGCGGTAGAACTGGTTTCCTGTCCAAACCTTCCGCCCCCGTTGCGCCTGAGTTGTTATTTTACAGGATTTGATTGATTTTTTAAAGAAATGTTGGACTGGACAATGGTGAGAAACGGAGAAAAAAGTTTCAAATCTTCATCCAAAAACACTTATACGCGCTTTTTATTTTTATTTTTTTTTCCTAAACTGTTTTGCGCAATAAACCATCAACACATTTTAAGAAACAAATGGCCATGTGAAACTTCCTTTTTCGGGTTCCGGTGCACATCCGGGCGCAACGAGCAGAGACTTTACGCGTGCCAGGGCGACATGTGCGGAGGAGCGGCTCCAGAACAGCACCGGTCGTTGTAAAAAAAAAAAAAAAAAAAAA